AGAAGAACCCCCTCCCTGCTATTCGATGCAATAGTGGATCTCTCACGACCTCCATGACTGAGGTGGGGGATGTCTTCGTCAACTATTTTAGCAGCTCCTGGGTTTTTCACGAGACACACTTCCTCTAGATGAGACTGTTGTCTGTTGTGGTCCTCGTCTTGATGCCACCTCTCAAGCTTCTTTGTTAGCTGATGTCTCAAATGATGATATCAAAAAGGCTCTTTTCAGCATTGGTGATCATAAATCCCCAGGGCCTAATGGGTACTCATCTTTCTTTTTCAAGAAATCCTAGGACGTGGTTGGGCAAGATCTATGTGTTGCAGTGCAAGACTTTTTCCAATCAGGGCAGCTTCTAAAACAGATAAACCATTCTATCATAGCACTAGTGTCGAAATCTGCTCATGTTACTACAGCTAGTGACTTTAGGCCCATTTCTTGTTGTAACGTTATTTACAAAATCATTTCCAAAATTCTAGCTGACAGGCTAGGGCATGCTCTTGATGGCATCATCAGCCCCATACAAAATGCCTTCTTGGGTGGTCGCCGCATGGCTGATAATATTAATCTCTTGCAGGAGCTTCTTAGGCAATATGAAAGGAAAAAGAGCCTCCCCTAGATGCCTTATAAAAATTGATTTTAGGAAAGCCTTTGACTCTGTCCAATGGGCATTCTTACGACATCTCCTCCTCCTCCTTGGCTTCCCTGATAGATTTGTTCATCTAGTGATGACTTGCGTTGAAACAGCTTCATATTTAGTGGCAGTCAATGGGGAGCTATTTGGGTTTTTCCCTGGAAAATGTGGGGTGCGGCAAGGGGATCCCCTGTCACCATATCTATTCATCACTTGCATGGAATATTTCTCTAGGATGCTCAGCTTAGTATCCCAGAATCCTTCATTCCATTTTCATCCAAAATGCAAGTCGCTTGGCATTTCTCATCTTTCTTTCGCTGATGATGTTATGCTACTATGCAGAGGGGATAGGTGTTCAGTTCAAATTCTCTTCCAGCAACTGATGCTTTTTGGACAAACATCTGGACTGGATATTAATTCTTCCAAATCATCAATTTATTTTGGTGGTGTTGCTGCTAGTCTAAAGCAAGCCATATTGCTAGATACTGGTTTCTCGGAAGGCTGCTTTCCTTTCAGGTATCTTGGTGTGCCTCTCAGCCCACACAGGCTTCTTGCAAGTCAGTTCTCACTACTCCTCCACAAGTTAGAAGCAGCTATTCAAGGATGGGTGGGTAAACACCTTACATACGCTGGTCGGCTGCAGCTCATTAAGTCAGTTTTATATGGTATGGTGCAATTCTGGATTAGCATTTTTCCTATGCTGTGTGCAGTTATCAGACAAATTACTTGTCTCTGTCGAAACTTTCTGTGGACAGGAGATATACACAGAAGTAAGTCTGCTCTTGTGGCATGGAAAACGGTTTGCCTCCAAAGAATGTAGGAGGACTGGGTCTACCTAATATTCAAATCATTAATAAGAGTTTCATTGCCAAACAGCTCTAGAACATTCACCAGAAGCAGGATTCCATCTGGATACGCTGGATACACCACTACTATTTAAATGCCAACTCTATTTGGAACGCTCAAAATCATAAAGCTTCATCACCACTGTGGAAGTCTATCATTCTTCTAAAGAATTAGCTTGTCCAGAGCTATGGGAGTCATCAACTAGTTCTTGATCTAATGGCAGACTGGGAGCGGAGGGAAGGTGGATTCACTTCTAATGCTTATGCTTCACTCAAGCCCCAAAGTCCAGCAGTCCCCTAGGAGAAGATAGTTTGGGGGTAATGGTCTCTGCCCAGATGCAATTTCATATTATGGCTAGCCATGCTTGGGAAGCTTCGAACTAGAGATAGGCTGAGGTTCATTCCCACTAACACATTTTGCATCTTTTATAGACAGGAAGAGGAGAGCAATAGACATTTATTTTTCAGTTGCACCTGGACATCTTCTCTTTGGAACAAAATCAAAGCCTGGCTGAAAATAAACAGGCGTATGGCCACTCTCAAGAGTGCAGTGAAAGGTTTGCCTTCCAAAAAGAAAAGCCTAGAGGCCAGAATGTGCAGAGCTTCTCTCAGCATGACAGTCTACCTAATATGGGAAGAAAGGAACAAAAGAATATTTGAGGGCAAGAGTATCCTACCTGACCTTGTATTTTGAAAATTTCAAATTCTCTTCTTCATGGTCCTGCATTTCCATGAAAAAAATCGTACACACATCAATGTTGCCTGGTGATTCCTCCTTCGGATGTGATGACAGTTTTCTGGCTATAATGGCAATAGTCGTGGTCCTACTATCTTAGCAACCCTGATTTAGCCTCTAGCTGTTTGTCGGGCATGGGTTTTTATGGCTCTTCCAAATTGAGGGAACTGTGGGCGTGGATTGCAGTTACTCGAGCAAACTTTTAATTTGCCCATTCTCTTTTGTTCATAAAATTCTGCATGGTGTCTGCATGAGATTCTACGTTGCATTTATTGTAGCTAGGAGTGAGCAACTCTGATTGGCTGGTTCCTCCTTTGGACTCTTGTGAACCTGGCGGGACTTATATGTTTGTCTTGGCTATTATATGCTGAGCCTCTCTCATCTCTACATGGTTTCCACGTCCTTGCATGAATGGGCACATGAGTTGCTGTTGATTTCTTGGCTGGGAGCTGCATGGTGTCTTCGTTGTGAGCTGATGGGATGCCTTTGTCTCCTATGCTGTTTCACATGGGCTGAGCTTGCATGGGTTTCCTTGTCTCTGCAAATATGGTCGGCTGGCCAATTATGCTGGGTGTCTGTCTTTGTTTGGTTGAGTTGCCCTTCTAAACCTTGGCGAAAGATGGCTTGCAGAGCTACACAACTCAACTTGGTTTCGGCTTCTATGGTAGGCCGAGGAAATCCATAGACTCTTATTCTTTGGCTGTAGTTGGACATCTTCCCTATGGAGTACATTGAAATCTTCACTCATCAACGTTACTAAGTCCTGCTGTGATTTTAGGAGTTGTTTTGGGATGTCCAGTATGGTTACTTTTAATCTAAATATATACTTACATTCTGATAAAAAAAAAAAAAAAAGAGCTCTCAGTCTGTCAATCCTTACTATGTCTGGACCTGATAAGTTTCCCTGTGTTGAGTCAAATTAAGCCGCAGGCTCCACTCCTGGTGGTGCCCTTCTGTCAATTCCTTTAAGTTTCAACCTTGCGACCATATTCCCCCCAGAACCTAAAAACTTTGATTTCTCATAA